CTGGGGCGGGGCGCACAGTGGCGCCCTAAGCGCTGTACAGAACGGAAGCTTAATTGAAGTTAAGGACTCCTTCCTTCTTTCATTCATTTAACAAAGATTTATTGATTCAGTCACATTTATGCTACTTAATGAAGCATCTTGGGAGCATTTGAAACAAGAAGTCGGTTTCCCACCTACCCCTCAGTTTTCCCAAAACATTCCTGTGTAAACAGCGACACCTTCCCACTCACTTCTCCCTCTCATACCCTTGCTGTGTCTCCAGCTAGATGGAATCCGTCTAGGTGAGGCGCGGGCGCGGGGAAGGATCGGCCACGGCTCCGTCTCCTAGCCTTTGCTTATGCCTTTCCGCTGCCTGGAACGCACCACCCCTCCTGCCCTACTTTGCTGGGCCAGATCTGGCTCAAGTGTCTGTTCCCACTTACAGATCTCTATAGCCAAGTGAGGGGCCTCCACTGGGCTCCCACGGTTGCATCCCCTTTCCTAAGTAGGCTGGGGAGACGATGGCAACTCAGAACCCACAGGCAAGCCAGGAAGGTTTCCTGCCTTTAGTTCAGCTATGCTCACTCCCAACCTGGCCCAGCCTGGGCTTGTCTGGGTCAGCTGGCCCCCCTTCCGTGTCACCTGCCCTCACCTTCCTCAGGCACTGCCATTATTAGCCTCTGAGAAGCAGGAGGTGTGAGGAGTGGGCCATGAGTTTCCCAGAATAGTTCCCCCGGAGCAGGGTGGCCATCCTGGGTCTGGGCTGCATTGCCCCTTCCAAACAGTCCAGGAGAGGCAAAGTCCCTGAAACACAGGCCTGTCAGACCGTGGAGTCCTGTCGCCTAAGGGGGAGTATGTTCCTGAGGAAGCGAAGAGGATGAGGAGCTACAAAATGAGCGGGATTATCCAAGGTGGGGTTTACCTGGCAGAAGGAACAGCATAAGCAAGTGTCCTGAGGATGCAGTGTGGCTCAATGAAATGTGCAACACACCTGTGATCCCAGCACTCTGGGAGGCCGAGGCAGGAGGATCCCTTGAGCCCAGGAGTTCGAGACCAGCCTGGGCAACATAGAGAGACCCCCATCTCTGCAAAAAATTTTTAAAAATTAGCCAGGCATGGTGGCACATGCCTGTAGTGCCAGCTACTGAGGAAGCTGAGGCAGGAGGTGGAGACTGCAGTGAGCTACGATTGAGCCACTGCCCTCCAGCCTGGGCAATAGAGCAAGACCCTGTCCCTAAAAAAATAAAAGAAAAAAAAAGAAATGCCCAAGAGGGAGGAGGCAGGTGCAGGGAAGGCAGAGGTTGGCAGGGGCCTGGCCACCTGAAACTTTGAGGGCACTGTTGGTGGTGAGGACAGAGGGGAGCTCAGAAGGATGGGTTGGTTGTTTGGTTTGCTTTTTTGCTTAAATTGAAATGTAACATTCACAAAAAAAATTCTAGAAATCAAGTGTGTACAGGTTGATGTAGTTTCACAAACTAAACACACTTTAAGCAGTTCCCAGATCAAAACCCAGGACCCCAGGAGCCCCCAACACCCCCTCCAGTCACCCCAGGTGACTTCTAACTTCTAACACTGCACGTTAGGTCTGCCTGGGTTTCTTGCTTCCTATAAGCAGAATCCTACAGTATGTGCTTTTGCGTGTGTGGCTTCTTTCACTCAGTATTCTGGCTGTGAGGGTCAGCCGTGCTGTGGCCTCTAGTTGAAATTTTTCCCTCTCATTGCTGTGTGGTATTCCGTGGTGTGAACATACCACAGTTGACTTCCCGTTCTACTTTGATGGACATTTGCAGTGTTTCCAGGTGCAGGGTGTTACAAACAGTGCTGCTGCGAGCATCCTTGTGCACATGTTTGGTGCACCTGGGGGTTCATGTCTGATGGAGATGTGTCTCGGAGCCATTGCAGGGTCCCTTGAGATGGAAGAAGTGACACAGTCAGACCTGCTGCGTGGAGGACGAGGGCTGGGCAGTGCGGGCAGGAATGCTGCGAGGAGTCACCTGCCTCCTCCCTCTGAGCTGGGGTTAGACCAGGGCCGTCCCGATGTCACTCTGTGTAGCCTGTGAGGTGCTGCTTCCTTAGTCCTTCATGTTGTCTTCACAACAGCCCTGCAAGGCAGCTCTTAATGCTCCCAGTTTATAGCTGAGGACAGTAAGGCTCAGAGTGGCCAACTGTTTGCCGCAGGCACCTGGCAGGTACGTGGCAGGGCTGGGGTTTGAATCCAGGTCTGCCTGATTGGCAGGCAGGTTCAGCACCACCCTGCACCTCATGAAGCAAACTGCTGGCCATCTCCTGCCACCGTCCCCGGCGTCCTCAGACAAGCCCTGAGCCCCAGCTCTCCTAGCGTCCCAGCTGTCCTCGGGCAGGGTCTGACCTTTCACCTCCGGCCTCTCCTCTGACAGGGAGTTCACAGATGGGGGGCCCCGAGATTAGAGGTACGGATCCAACTCTGCGCCGCACCCTGGCCCCACTGGCCTGTGCTCAAAGTCCCAGCAAGCCCCAAGGAAGTTCTCTTCCCCTCTCTGGGCCTGTTTCCCCACAACACAGCGGATGCCGCCCTCTAGATCAGAGGTGCGTGCATTCGTTTCGGGAAATATCTGAGTGCCACCACCGTGCCAGGCCGTGTGTGGGAGCCGGGGATGAAGAGGGAACACGGCCCGCCGAGCACCGCCCTCCCAAACCTGTCGTTCTGGTGGAGGTTGTGGAACTCCTGGATCCTGAAGGTGCCAATTAGAAAGACAAATGGACTCAAACTGGAAGTGATACTCTTTGGTTGTCAAAACCTCTGAGAGAAACTATTCATTATCTTTGTCTTAGAAGCTTCTGGAAAGCAGGGCCTGGAGTTCCACACACCATGGGGCCAAATCCCTGAGACAGAAATGGTCAGACTCACTCCCTGGGCTGCCTGGAGCATTTGCTGATTTCTGTCATGTAAATACTCTCTCCGGGGGTCCCCCTCAAGCTGCCCTCACAGTGTTACTCAGGAGAGAGCTGGGAAGAGACTCGAAGCCCCCCTGGAAAGCGGGGTGGTGCAAGCTCCAGCACACTGCACCTCTGCCTGCGCAGCACCGCACACAAGGTGTGGCACACAGTAATGACAATACACATATGGGGAACAAATAGTCTCCTCCGACAGTCCTCTCACATTCGTGCTGTAATTCAAACCACTGCCCATTGAGCACTTGGTGTGAGCCTGTCAGAGACCAAAGCCTCAGGGCCAGGAGATCCCACCGTACAACCACGTGAGTCAGTCAGCCGGGGATGCCAGCCGAAGCCCCACAGCTGCTCGTGACCGTGCTCACGACACGGGGCAGCGGATGGCGCATTGGGCTGGGGTTCGAGAGACCTGGGTGTCCAGCCCGGGGCCGCCGTGTACGTGCTGTGTGCACCACCGCAGCCCCCACCCCTTGGGATCTCTCCTTTCCTCAACAAGGGGGCTGGTCTCAGTTACCTGCCCTTGTGTAACAGCTGCCCCCAAACCTCACAGCTTAAAACCATCCCCATTTTATGCCCGAGATCTGCAGTCTTGGCTGCGCTCGGCTGGGCAGCTCTGCTGGGGTCCTCATGCAGCCGGCCACTCAGCTGGGCCCGTGTGGCTCAAGAAGGCCTCCCTCAAGTCTGGCAGTGAGCTGAGTCTGCTGGCCAGGGTGCCTCTGTTAACTGACTGGAAAGTACCAAATAATTAAAAACCCATGAGTCCACAGAGGTATTGAGAAAGAAGGGAAAAACGCACTTGCAGAATACTATGCAGCAACAAAGAAATACTGATCCATGCCATAAAACGGATGAACCTCAAAAACATTATTCTGCCTGAAGAAACCAAGCACAAAATACCACATATCATATGATTCCATTTATAGGAAATGTTCAGAAAAGGCAAGTCTAGAGAGAATAGAGTGACCTGGAAGATTTACTGCACGCGGCACACAGGGTCTTTTCTGGGTGATGGAAATGTTCTAAAACTATATTGTGGTAATTGGTACACATCTGTTAATTTAGTAAACGTCATTCAAGCAGGTGGATTTATGGTATACAAATTATACAAATTAAAACAAACCAAAACACACGTTTTCCAGCATTGGAGGTGATTACTATATTAGTTCACATCTCTAAATCAATCAGTAAAGATTCGAGCATTTATCTTTTTTAGGTGGCACTGGAATCCATCCCCAGTTGATTGGAAAAAGCTCTTTTCAGAATCCCAGCAAAGACATTAGAGAATGCCTGATGGTTTCTTTAGGTGTGATCATGGTATTGTGGTTATTCCAGAGAACTACCTTATTTTTAACATCTGCTTGCTTAAGGGTTTAGGGGTGAAATACATGTCTAAAACTTCTCTAAAACATTTTGGAAAAGAAATGTGTGAAATAAATATGACAAAATGTTAATTGCTGACTGGAGGTATTGGTTTTATGGGTGTTCTTTATATGGTTTTTTCCAACTTTTCTGTACATTTGAAACAGTTCTCTTTAATGACCTTTCAAATAAAACTTGTGCTTTCCAACTGCCCATGAAGACATCTGAAGACTGGGCAGGCTTGGACCTGCTCACTCCCACCTGTGCCGGCTTCTCTCCCTGGCTCTCACGGCTCAGGCGGTTACAGTAACAGCCTTTAGGCCTGTGAATCCGTACCCCTGGCCTGGTCCAATGCCTACAGATGTGGAAACTGAAGCCCAGAGAGAAGCAATGTCCCTAAGGTGGTGCCTGGGCTGGATCCACACCCAGGCTGCCCACCTTGTATCTGTGCCCCTGAGTGCAGCGCTGGCCACTCCCCCTCTTACACCCCCACCACCAGGGCCTCCCTGCCTAGCAACACGAGGACCCTGTCAGGCTGCCAGGTGGGCTCAGCCCCCACCAGGCTCCTCCTGACCTTTGTCCTCCTGGAGCCTCCACCCTCTGCACCCCAGAGAACAAGTCCCCTGCTCTGGCCCAGAAGCAAACGGCCACCCACATAACCAACAACATGGCCAAATGGAAGGTAATTGTTCAAATCATTTATTTGACTCACAGCTGATGCACACGCTCTATCGTACAAAAGGTGGAAGCTGCAACAAATCGAGTGCTGCAGGTAGTGCATGACGTGTAAACAAGGACAAGACAAAAATGCCACTTCTGTGCGATTCGGGAGCAAATCAGGGTGGGCCAGGCCCAGGCCCAGTATTACATTCACAGCGTGGGGTAAGTGCAAATGAACGGAATGTCCGGATGGAGGGGAGGAGGGTATGGGGTCCCTACTGCTCAGGAGGCTGCTCCCTCTGGGCACTGGACTTGGAGGTGCCCATGGGTCCTGTGGCCTGGGCACCTGGCCCCAAGATGATGAGCCACACCCAGCATCACCCCTCACCCCCTCCCCTGGTGTGCCCACCCTCTCACCCCTGGGACCCCTTTCCCATTCGGGGCAGAGGGACTGAGGTGCGAGGAGCCTGCCCGCTAACTCCAGAGTACGGAGAGCCGTGACGGGGAGTCTGTTTCTCCTGCAGGTCTCAACCTGGAGAGGGGCAGAATCTCAAAATAAAGTGTTAAGGCAATAAATAAAACTTCCCAGCTCGGGTGAAAACCCTCTAAGAGGAGTGAGTCTGCAAGGGCTGATGGGAACCCTGTGGCGTGGGGACATGGCTGCGGGGACAAATGCTAACCGGACTCCGTCAGCAGGACCAGCAGAGGCTCCACACCCCTGCACAGTTCCGAGAGCATTTGTGCGCTGAAGGCAAAGTGCCAGGCAAAGTTTCTTGTCCTACTGAAGGTCGGGGAGCTGGTCCAGCCACATACATCCTCTGACCTCCCCAACGTGGTCCCTGGCCTGAGTGACCCCTGGTCAGAGCCCCCAGCTCAGAGCCTAGCACCGTCCAGGGAGTTCTGGGCTCACAGAGGGAGGTGGAAGGGGACGGGCGCGCCCACCCCACCTCCTCTCATCTTTGGTGGTGGCAGAGGTGGGAGAGGAAATGACAGTCTTTGGCAGGGTGAGGGACTGTTTGAAGGACAGCGTCCTGGTTTGGTGCTTGGGTTTGTCAAGGGCCCAGTCCCTGAGCAGACATGAGCACAGGGAAAAGGCCCACCTCTGTCCCACCTCGGGATGGCCCAGGCCTGCTGCCTACTAAAGCGCCCCCCATTCTGCGTCTCTGGACTTGCAAACTCTCTAGGGAGGTGGCCGGGGTGGGGAGGCCACCAAGACTGGTGAGCCGGGTCCCTGGATTCTGAGGCTGTGCAGCCGAGGGTGGTTTCTAGCTCGGGACACCAAGGCCTTCACCGGAGCTCTGGCCCCATCCTTCGCCTCCACCCTCCCGGGCCCCTCTTCAGCAGCCCTGAGGTGATGGGAAGCGACGGGCTGGGTCCCGCACCCAGGGCATCCCAGCTCTGCCTGCGCCTCAATTCTCCACAACACCTTCCTCTCCCTCAGGCCCTGCTGGCCACTGGCCCGGCCTCTGCCTCCCCAGGGACCGCTGAGGGCAGTCAGGCAGGCCCCTAGGGGCTCCATGCCTCTCAACGGAAATTCGTCCCCTGGGCCTTGGGGCTTCCCAGATGATGGGGGTCGAGACAAGGTCAGGACAAGTGCCCTTGGCCACTGCAGCTGGATGCCACCCCAAAAGAAGGGAGGCAGCCTTCTCTGTGCTCCTCTACTGCATCTCCCCCAGGAGCCCGTTCTCTCGGGGCAGCGCCCCATTCAGGCCAATGCTGCTGGCCACCGGGGCCCCCAAGTAGCCCAGCAGGATCTCGCTGCGGCGCCGGGACAGCTGCAAGATGTCGTCTGCCAGTGCCGGCACCGACGTGTAGCGCACGTTGTCCAGGTCGAACATGTCCCTCAGGTACTGCACAATCTGGTGCTGGGGGTACAGGGCTAGCATTGGGCCTAGCCCAAGCCCCTGTTGCCCCGTAAAATCCCCCAGACCCTCAGAGCCCCAACCCATCCTCAGACTCCTCCCCTCCCGGGGCTTCCCCTGGGCCCACCTGGGCCCCCACTGCACTCCTGGCATCTGCCAGGGCTCCCGTGCCCAGGACAGGGCAGGGCTGGGAAGAATGGGAGTTTACCTTGAAGAAAGCACAGACTTCAGCGAGCTGGGGCTTGGGTCCAAGGAAGCCAAAGGCTAGGACAGGGCTCACGTGCTCCGATACGGAGTAGAAATGGGAGATGAAGCCATCAGGCACCTGCGGTGGGTGGCAAGGCTAAGGGACCAGCTGCGGCCTGGAGAGGGTGAGGGCCGTCAGGCTCTGGGGGTCATGTAAAGGGGAGGTTTTGGAGGTGGACTCTGCTGGTTCACATTCTTGCACGATGACCCTGGGCAATGACTCAATTCAAAGGCCCTGTTTTCACGTCTGCAAACAGGGTAACCCCAGGGCTGCAGTGAGCACTAGGAGACGATGGTGGGCTCAGCAGGAAGTGCCTGGAGCACAGGGTAGCGGCGGCAGCTGCACAGCCCAGATAGTGCAGCCATGGCTGCCTGGGAGCACAGATAGCAGCAAGCGGAGCGGAAGGGCAAAGGGAGGAGGGGTGGTCTCTGCCTGCCCAGAGGCATCGTGCTGCCCAGCCAGACACCTCCACCCCAAGCCCATGCCCCTCCTCCCTCCTCTCCTTCCTCCCTCCTCTTCCTCCTCCATCGGAGGATGCGCTTTCCCCTATTCTGACTCCTCAGGCGTTTCCCAACAGCCTCCTCCTGTGCTGGGCGTGGGGGGAGCTCCTGGCCAAGGGAGAGGCGGGTCAGGCGGCCCTGCCGTGAGTGATCAAAGGTGCCGCAGGCCGGGCTGAGCAAGGCCACTCACCATCAGCAGCCTCCTCTTGGCTTTCAGGACAGACCAGCAAGCAGTGGCCAGAGCCTAAAACAAAGATGGGCCCCCACCCTGGGTGTCAGCACAGGATAGGCCCACGGCCCCTCCCCCTCCGCCAGCCCAGGACCAAGCCCTTCTCCCCAGCTCAGCCCCCAGCAGGAAGATGGGGCTGGTGTCTGAGCTCTGCTGCTTCCCTCCCCAAAATTTGAATCTCGACTCTAACCCTCACTGCTGTGTGTCCCTGGACTAGCCATGGATCTTCCCTGAGCCTCAGTTTCCTCCTCTGTAAAATGGCCACGACACAGCACTCCCACCTCATTTGGAGGTTGTGGGGAGCAGTGCACACCACCTGTAAACTCCCGCCCAGCAGAAGCCCTGCCCTGGCTGCACAGCGTGGCTGCTGAGTATCCCAGCGTGCCCTGGGGGCCCTGCACTGGGCTCTCTCCTGCTCTTTGCCTGACTTTTTGTTCTGTGTTTCCCTATTTTAACTTAACTTAATAGGATGCATTAAAATTGAATAGAATTAATACCAGCACAGGATGAGGGGAAACCCCCCTTCGTTGGGAAGAAGAAAATGCAAACCATTGTGTTGGTTCTAAACCAGGGCTGAGGGCAGCAACAGAGCACCCTGGTGGCCTGTCCAGAGCAGGAGCCCGTCCCCCAGGCCCAGTAGCCCCAGCTGGGTTGGGGGGCAGCCCTAGTGCCAGAGCTAGGGATGGGGGAGCGGGGCCAGGCGAGCACGCAGGGTCACATGTGCATGCATGTCTGGGATCGGGACGGTGACCCACCGTCTCCTTGAAGCTATCCGACAGCCAGCGGTTCCTCAGAACAGCGAGCACCGAGGACGGGGGATTCTCCAGGTCCTCGAAGGCATCCATGAGGATGAAGTCGAGCACAATGTCGAAGAAGCTCATGCACACCACCTGCAAGAGGTGGGACGCCTGTGCTGCGGGGCGCTATGGGGCAGGGGTGGGGAGACTGAGGGCCGGGGGTGGAGCATTTCCCCAGCCTGGCCCTGGGCCAGGGCAGGAACCAGGCGCCTGGAGCAGCAATAGAGCCCTCTCCGCTGCTCAGAACTGAGGTGGAGCTCAGCACGGGAGCCCCATCCCTGCTCAACAATCTCACGTGCAGGGAGCCCAGGACAGCAGGGTTCTGCACAAACCAACTCACCCCGCGGCCCTCCAGCTCCAGCCGCGTGGTAGCCCAGGTCTCAGGCCGCAGGGCGTAGCTCAGCATCTCCTCATAGCTCTCCAGGAAGCCCTTGGGGCTCTGTGGGGAGAAATACAGCCTGTCCTGGTCACAGGAGAGGCCCTAAGACCCAGCTGCACAAGATCCACAGGAAGAGGCTAGCCTGTGGGTGGCGGACAAGCAACACACGGCTGGGCCCCACCCCAGCAGCCACAGAGAAAATGGGGCAGGCAAGCGTCTCCTGCCCACCACGATGAGCGTCTCCAGAGAGCCAGGGAACCCAGCCATGTCCCAGGCTGGCTACGTATGGAGCACCGACTGTCTTCCAGGAGATCTCACTTTGGAGGGATGCATGAGAACGTGAGGTTTAGAGTCAGGCAGCCAAAGATTCAAATCTCTGTGACCTTGGGCCTCAGTGGTGAAATGGGAGAAGCTACAGCCCCACCCTCATAATGCCATTCTGGGGGAGCTGATGAGCTCACAAATGTAATGCAATCAGTCCAGTCCTTGCCCCTGAGCATTCAATAGTGCATGAGGGCCGGGTGCGCTGGCCCATACCTGTAATCCCAGCACTTCCAGAGGCTGAGGCAGAGGATCATGTGAGCCCAGGAGCTCAAGACCAGCCTGGGTAACAAAGCAAGAACCCATCTCCGGAAAAAATTTTAAAAATTAGCCAGGCATGGTGGCACATGCCTGTAATCCCAGCTACTTGGGAGGCTGAGGCAGGAGGATTGCTTGGGCCCAGGAGTTGGAGGTTACAGTAAGCCGTGATCATGCCACTGCACTGCAGCCTGGACACAGAGTGAGGCCCTGTCTCAAAAAAAAAAAAAAAAAAAAAAATGCATGTGATTGCTTGACTGCTGCTGCTAAGCAAGACTCTTTGCACAGTCCTGCACTGTTCTTCACTCAGTGGGACCCTGAGAGACAGCTGGGGCCCATGACACAATTCGCAGACGTGGGTCTGCATTCATGGACTCGGAAAAGCAGTGAGTGTCAGGATCTGTGCTGAGTACGCACTGACTCACTGCATTCTTACAGCCCCGTGACGGAGTTCCACTATTATGCCCACTCTCCAGGTAGAAATACTGAGGCTCTGGGAGATCAGTGATGTTCCCGAGAGCCAGGCAGGGTGGAGCTGACACAGAACAGCACGGGCAGGTTGATGCTTTTTATGAAGCACTAGAGGCAGAGGAGACGCAAATGGATATTCACCAGAATGTGAACAGGGTGGCAGCAGGAACTACTTTTCTTTTGTTCTTTTGGATTTTTTGTATGGTCTTAGTTTTTTCTATAATGAGTATGCATAATTTTATAATCTTTCTTTAAAAATTATTTTCAGGACCTCTGCTTTCCTTCTCCCACAATCCCTCACGCTCCTCCTTTCCGACTTGGGCCGAGCACAATGGCTCCCACAAAGAAGGGTGGCGAGAAAAAGAAGGGCCATTCTGCCATCAACGAAGTGGTGACCCAAGAATACACCATCAACATTCACAAGCGCATCCATGGAGTGCGCTTCAAGAAGCGTGCCTCTTGGGCACTCAAAGAGATCAGGAAATTTGCCGTGAAGTAGATGGGAACTCCAGATGCGCGCACTGATACCAGGCTCAACAAAGCTGTCTGGGCCAAAGGAATAAGGAATGTCCCATATGGGATCCGTGTGCGGTTGTCCAGAAAACATAATAAGGATGCAGATTCACCAAACAAGCTCTATACTTTGGTTACCTATGTACCTGTTACCACTTTCAAAAATCTACAGACAGTCAACGTGGATGAGAACTAACCACTGATTGTCAGATATATCAAATAAAGTTAAAAAACCAAAAAAAAAAATTATTTTCATTAAGGTGTTTTCCTATTTTTTTCTTTTCTTTTTGAGACAAGATCTCACTGTTGCCAGGTGCAGTAGTGCGTCATGATAGCTCACAGCAACCTCAAACTCCTGGCCTCATGCAATCCTCCTGCCTCAGCCCCCCAAAATACTGGGATTAGAGGTGTGAGCTACCTCGCCTGGCCTATTTTCACTAAGTTTTAAGGAAAATTTGCTGGGATGACTTGAGCTGTCCCTTTAAACTGCCTGAGCCTCAGTCTCCTCATCTGTAAACAGTGACAACTATGAAGATAAGGGCTGGCCCCTGACATCATCTCACAACATCCCCGGGGCACACCCATTTACACAGAGAGAGTTGCAGGGGTTTCAGGACAAAGCGAGAGTGTGACCCAATGCTATAGCCCCAGAGCCTGGTCACTTCCCACAGGGCCTGCATCTTCCCAGACCAGGGCCCGGCCCCAGCTCCGCCTGCCTGGCAAGCCCTGATCGGGCCACATCAGCTGCTGCTCCAGTCCCGGGGCTCAGTGCAGGCTCTGGCACTCAGGAGCTGCTAAACAGCCTCTTTCATTTTTTAATAAAACTGAGTCCTACGCTGGGGCGGAGGCTGGAGAGGGGAGTGCCCTGGAGAGCAGGCCCAGCTCTTCAGCCCCTGTTGCCACCTTCACCCTCCTTCCCTTGCTCACTCGCTGATCCTACTGGGGAGGCCCACAGACGCCAGGCCAAGGGCCCAGGCTGGGTCAGGCCGAACTGGCTTCCAATCCCGGCTCCACCCGTCACTTGCTTAGCGACCCGGATGGCCCTTTTCCCTCTCCAGGCTCGGCTTCCTCATCTGCCAAGTGGAGACTGCAGTGAGGCTCCGATGAGCTCCTGGAGGTAGAGAACCGCGAGCAAAGCACCCAGCTCACGGCTAGGGAAATGGCAGCGGCTGGGAGAATAATGTTTCTGGAGCAGCTGCCCCGTGCTGGGCCCTGGACTGGCCACACACCTGTGCCAGGACAACTCTGGTCCTGGCCCTCACAGAGCTCAGGAAGGGACCGGGAGATGGACAGGGCAACCCAGGCAGGGTGGGACGCAGGGTGAGCCCAACGGCTCTCGGGCCTCAGGGGATGAGTCAGGTGAAGACCTCCGGGGGAAGGCAACGGCCGCCGGGCACTCGGCGGGCAAGTGACCAAGGAGGAGGGAGAGGGAGGGTCGTTGGGGACCCTTCGAGATTCCGGTGTATGCTCCACTTCCTAACCTGGGTGCTGGGGACACACGGTTTGTCTTTTCATTCATTAAATCCTACAGATAGTTTTCTATACTCTCTTCTATGTGTAGGTCACGCTACAGCCGTCCTTACAAAGAAAGAGGGATTGCGGAGCAGTGTGGCGGGTGGAGACCAGCACACGCAAAGGCCAGATCAGCAGGTCTGGAGTGCACTAGAAGCCCCGCGCCCTTCAGTCGGATGGGGCAAAGCTCAGACTTTACACCAAGGGCAGCAGGAGCGAGGGAGGGCTTCAAGCAGCTGGATGAAGAGTCATACGTGTGTTTTACAACCAGCATGAGAGGAGAAAGGATTCAGAGGGGAAAGGGATGTTCAAAAGCTTCACTCAAACTTGTTAAAGAAAAAAAAAAAACACAAGTAGTCAAGAAACATGAAAAATGATTCAACCTCACCAACGATAAGAACCATAAAGCAGTGGATAAAATAAGAAAGATTCAAAAGGTTCCTAATAGCTGGTATCGGCCAAGATGTGAGGAAACGCTCTCACACCGCTGGCGGGCCGTGCGTTGTTACGGCCTTTCAGACGGCCAGCTGGCAAGACCCGCCACGTCCAGGCTCGGCCCACAGAAAACCTCACGAGGACCTAAAGAGCTGTGTGAAGGCCATTACAGCAGTGACGTCTGTGATGGTTAAAAATCAGACCCAGCCCAGATGTCCACCCATCAGGGAACCGGATAAATAACCTGACGTCTTCCACACCACGGAATCCTGCGCAGTCAGTAAGAGCAACTCCTTGTACCGACATGGACAGACGGAGGAGATACAATGTCATGCCACAAAGCAAAGCGGTGGGATAGAAAGGAGGGCACAGAGGTTTGGACTTTTGATAACAATGTTCAAGGGCTGGAGTCTACAGAATGGGGTAGGAGGAACACATATCAGACCGCGGACAGCGGCCACCTCTGGCAGGTAGGGTTCGGGGGACCTTCTGCGGTTTGCATTTCATAATTGGGCCCTGCCCCCACCACCTCTGCTACCTTCTCAGCCTTGGTCATCAGGCCTGTCACCATCTGCCGGCCAACCTTCCCGAAGAAAAGCTGGTTACTCTTGTCTTCCAGAAGCCCCTAAGGAATGAGGAAGGGAGGGGAGTGAGCTGCCGGGCACGGCAGTCCCCCAAAGCCCATGGACAGGGCAGCATGATGGGCTGGGTAGGGGACCCCATCCACCACTGAGGAGCCCGGTGTGGGAGCAGGCCCGGCTGGAGACAAGAAAGCCAAGTACATGTGCCACGGTTGTGGCCAGCCTGACAGCCCTTCATCCCCGGCTCCCTCCGCCCCAGGGGCTCCTGGACCACACCCACCTCAAAGGCCTGCCGCACGCAATGCAGCTTGGCCAGAAAGTCCTGGTCACTGTAGCAGCCCAGCAGCTCCGTCCTGAGGGAAGGACAGATAGCGTCACACCATGGGTCCCTGCCCAGCAATGCCGCATGGCGTCAGGTGGCGCCCTGGGTGGGGAAGTAGGAGGCTCTGGCCCCAGCCCCGGACCTGTCTGCCCAGCAGTGTGACCTCTGGCTGGCACCTGCCTCCCTCAAGGCCTCCGTCTCCCGCAAGCCAAAGGACGAGGCCGACTGGATGCCCTGAGGACGCCCTGAGGACGTGTCAGCAGGGCGTCAGGGACAGGTCTGGTCACGGGGCAGGCCGACCAAGGGCTCCTTGAGGCCATGACCAGCCCTAAACCTTCACTGGCAAAGGACCGAATGGCCAAATTGTTCCTGGGTGACAGAGCCCCCAGGCAGGGATGCCATCCCCTCTGGTACCCCTTTATCCAAATCACTACAGCTTCGACCAGAACTTTCAGGCATTTTTGGTCAATGAAATTTTTTTTTTTTGAGACAGAGTCTCACTGTGTTGCCCTGGCTAGAGTTAGTGCCGTGGCGTCAGCCTAGCTCACAGCAACCTCAAACTCCTGGGCTCAAGAGATCCTCCTGCCTCAGCCTCCCGAGTAGCTGGGACTACAGGCATGCGCCACCATGCCCGGCTAATTTTTTCTATGTATATATTTTTAGCTGTCCAGATAATTTCCTTCTATTTTTAGTAGAGACAGGGTCTCGCTCTTTCTCAGGCTGGTCTCGAACTCCTGACCTTGAGCGATCCACCTGCCTCGGCCTCCCAGAGTGCTAGGATTACAGGCATGAGCCACCACGCCTGGCCGTGGTCAGTGAACTTTTAAACACAAATACTTAAATCTGCAAGCCATGACCAAAAAGCCAAGTTCTGAGTTTCATACCACACAGCAAGTTAACTGCAGATGGCTAAGAGACCTGAGATAACCACAGATGAGGAAACTGCGGCTGAGAGAAGTCTGGCGACTTGTTCAGAGCCACACATGACAAATTGGCAGAACCTGGAGAGAATCCAGGTCGTCTGTCCCCAGAGCCCGGGTTCTTGACCTCCCGACACTGGGCTTAGGAACAGTGTCCACTGCGTTGCTGTGGCTGAGCCCCTCTGCGAACTTAGCACAGGTATTAACTATTGTTATTGTATTAACTATAGTAATTTGTTACTGTTATTATCAGGGGCCATGCAGACCCTCCATGGTGGGGGCAAGAGCTGTCACCGGCTTGCCATGGCCCCCAAGCAGCCTGAACTCACCCCAGCTGAGTCCTCACTGAGCACTGCTGGCTCCTCCACCTCCCCAGGGGGGCCAGGGCTCACCCACTGCTTCCTGCCCCCACACCCACTCACCTGAGGGTCCGGCAGGGCACCTTCCCCTCCTTCACCAGCTGCAGGGCCTCCTCGTAGGCGGCAGCGGGTCTGGAAAGTGGGGTTGGGTAACCTCCCACCTGCAGGGACTCAAAGAGCTGGGGGAGGGTGCAGAGGAACCTACATGAGCAGCGTCCCATGGGGCAGGGCACCTGCCATCAGTCCCTGGCAAGGGCCCCTCCCACAGAGAATGTCAGAGGGAACACTGGCCCAAGAGACAGGAGGCCCAGGTGCGAGTCCAGCTCTCAGCATCCCCATCTCCAGGGACCCTTCCCAAAGGGGCTATCTACTGGACACCTGGCCGTGTCTTCCCATTCCAGAGAAGGACACCATGCCTGACACACATGCTCGCAGCAGGAGATTAGTGGCAAGCAGCAGGCACAGCGTCTGCAGAAAGGAGCGTGCAGCATGTGCTGGAGCCATTAGGGCTGGGACCTCCGTTCTCACCCACAGGACCCACAACCCCCCATTTCTCAGGCCTCCCCGTCCCTGGCAACTTCGCGTCTCCAAGGAGCAGTACTCAGTAACCGCCAAATTCTGCTACCACGGAAGGCAATGCCTTCACTTTCCCATGACCTCGCACTTGCCCCTGGGTCTCCGCCAGAGGCCCGGCACCCACCCCACGCCCAGCTTGGTCCCCCACGTCACCTCTGTGGCAGAGAAGAAGGAATCCTCCGAGGTCAGGCTGTCTTCATCATCCGCCCGTAGCTGCAGTGAGCCCTCGGTCAGGGGCAGCATGAGGGTCCTCTCTGGGGAGAGCGGCAGGAGGGCAGAGCTGAGACTCCCACACGGAGCTGCAGGAAGCCTGGGGCCTCTGTCTGGGGCCCGTGGTGCCAACAGTGGCAAAGCTCCTACGTGCTGAGCACGTCTGTGTGAGACGCCAGGCTCACTGCCTCATTCGCCTCCTTCAGTCCTCACACATCCTCAGGGGTGGGCAGCATTAGGTGTAGACACTAGGCTGGCAAGGGGACTCACCTAGGGTCACACCACCAGATCTGAGGCCTGATGGCCCTGGAGCTCTACAGGGGGAGAACTGTCATGCCGTGTGGCCCGCAGCAAGTCACTTCTCCTTGACAAGCTGAAACTTAGCCACTGACACAAAGGGCTCAAGAGAGTCCATGGGCCACTCACTGGGTATTCCCATCCCTCAAGGGCTGAGGGGTCTAGACCTTTGAGGACACTTAGGAAAGGTCTGTCGGACAAATAAGCAAAGGCCGCAGATCTGCGACAAGCCCTGAAGGCTGTAGCAGCCCGCTCTGCCATGTGTGTGGGGAGGCCAGAAGGGGCAAAGCCACGTTGAGGGCACGTGGGGAGGTGCCAGGGGATGCGTAGCCTCAGCCAAGCCTCTCTGGTTCCCAGTGTCCCACTGCTAGAGCCAGGGAGCCTGACATCTGGGAGTCTAATAATGCCCCCCGCAAGGGCTGAGCGCGCCCAGGGAAGGACCAGGGTGTGTCATTCGCCACAAGGGTCTGGCACACAGCAGGCCCGAAGAGGACACTGGTGTTTGGCTGGACAACTTGTGACTCCCTCTCAGTGATGTCACTTCACCTTGAGGGAGCCACAGCAGATGTCCATTCTTGGGCCTTTGGCCTGCTTTGGCTCAACCTCCACGTGAGTCATCCCGCCCACCCACCAGGCTGAGCCTGTAGGGAAGGGCTCAAAACAGAGGCCTGGAAGAGATGTCAGGGAGATGTTGACACACAAGCCCAAGTCCTGCTCCCATGGGGAGGGGCAAAGTGGGGCTGTGGACTCCTGGGGGCCTTGTGCCAGCTCTGCTCCTGCCTGCCAGCCAGACACATATAAGGGACCACCTCAGTTTCCTCTCCCGTGCACTGAGGTGTTAGACTGGATGATTCTGGTTTGTCTGATGCACTGTGGGAACTACGCCCTGGTTCTCTCACCTCTGCCCTGTGTTTATTCCAGCCACCCTCAACCGCCGCCCCTGCCCGCTCCAGCGCCAGCTCACCGAGATCCAGCAGCGCACCGTCAGGGGGGAAGGTGGAGCCGAACTCCTCCTGCAGGTGGTAGGCCCGGTGCAGCAGGGACTCCAGCTTCTCTGCAAACTCCCTTCGCTGTGACTCTGGCTACGGGAAAAACAACGACTGTCAACCCAGACCCCCAAACTCCCCATACAAATGGTCCCTTCCCCCACCACTGACGGGGGCCCCAGGCCGCTGCAGAAAGGGGAGAAGGCTCTGGGGCCCAGCAGCCAA